GAGGTTTTTCTTTGAGTATTTCCTTGGATGTCTCTTTGGAGTGTTTTTAGAGAATTGCCAAAAAAGGAAATTTTTAGAAATTTTGAGATTTGCGGGAAAGAGTTTTTTTTTTCCTAACACTATAGATTATAGTTTACTTAACATAGTTTTAGCTATAGTTACTTTTATTTTTTTTTTCAATTTTTTACATTTAAAAAATAAAAAAAATTTGTAAAATTTCTTGAGTAGATAGGCATAGTTGCTATTCAGGCATAGCTAGTATATAGTATTGTTTTGAATTTCTTTTTCAATATTAGCTAGATGTGTTCGTATAGGCAGGCTAGCATTTAATTTGCTACATATGTACGTAAAAGATATTGTTTTTTTTACAATGTATATCATGTTATATACAATATCAAATAAAGAAATAATGCTTACCTATGAGTGGAAACTCACCAAAAAATATATATATATATTTAATATCTTCTAATAATCTAGTATATAAGAATAATTTTATTCCAATTCAGTAAGAAACTTTTTTTGATAATGGTTATTCTAAAAAGATAGTAAGTTCCTAAAAACTTTACCTAATATAACAATGGAAAGGTAGCCTCCTGTTATAACAATAAATTTCTTAAATATTTTTAGCTATTAATCAAAACAGTAGAAATTAAATAATAATATCAAATTGTAGGTAATAATAAAAAGTAATATTTGATAAATTTAGTAGTCTAAATTATATATATGTTTGTATTTAATTCAGATATTTTTCAAAAACTGTATTATGTTCATATTACTAAGTAACAATTAGTAAGTAATTGGGAATTGTATTTAATTCAGAATCATATTGTTGATCAAATTTCCTTTTATGGTAATAAGGAAACATGTATAGTCTATATGTATCAATAAGTGATATCATTTCTAATTTTCTGATTTTATTTCTTTTTGACATATAATACACAAAACCAAATAAGATTTAAAATAATTCTTTAAAAAAATAAAATATATTAATAGAGCCTAGGCATATTAATTTTTTAAAAAGGAAAGCAACAAGCTATATAGGATCAGATTTTTAAGATTGATAAAATAACTTTACTATAAGATTTAATATAGAATATATAATAAATCTGGATTATATATATTGCTGAAATTTATAGATCCTTGATGCAATTAATGCAATTATTTGACACAATTAATTAAGTCACTATTAAAATATATAAATAATTGAGTCATGACACAATTATTTTTGAGGATTTTGAAAATTGAGTCAACAGCAAAATAATTTATGTCACATGTATAACCTGGTTATAACAAAGTCTAAATACAATAAATATCTGGATATAATAAAGTATTTTTTAAAAAATTTACAATTTTTTTTAATAAAATTACCTGGATATAACGAAAAAAAAAGTATAAACCAGATCCTTTTATTATATCTAGGTTCTTTGTATATATATAAAAAATAGATTTATAGAATAGCTCTATATTTCGAAGTAATATAGTATATAATATTAATAACCTTAATAAAGTAAGCTTTAGCAATATTACAGAAAAAAAAATTTTAAAAAAAAGTATTTAAAAAAAATATATATATATATATATATATATTTGAATAACTAATATATACTTTGTTTTATTTAAATGTTATTGGTTAAATATATATAGATTTATCATTATTTTTTACTTGATAAAATTACTTAAGCTAAAATTATACCTAACTACTTATTAGCTTATTGCTCTCTATCTTTTTATATTTTTAATACTGGAACTTTAATAGTATAGATAAAGTATTAATATATTAGAATATATGTTTTTTAGTTCTACCTACTACTTGATAAATAAAAATTTAAAGAACTGTATTTTAATATAATCAGTTATAAAATTATTATATTTATTAAAAAATTTATCTAAAAAAAATTATTTCAAAAAAAAATCTATAAAAAAAAAATATTTTTTTTTTGAGACTAGCAAAGATAATTAAGGGCAGATTGAAAACATAAACAAGAAAATCTTGTTTGAAAGAAGAGGAAAGACTATAAATTATCTATCTAAAAGGAAATCAAGATCAACTCTTTATAAAAATTTAGAATGAAAACATTATAGAAAAAAAAACTTATTGAACTGAAAAAATCTGTATATACTATTGTTATATTATATATATATATAATTATTCATAATCCTTATATCTTCTTGCAAATCTTTGTCCTATTCAAAAAATCTTTAACTAAGATTAGTCATTTGTTTTCTAATTAAGTATAATGTTACTGTTGTCATCTATTATAGTCAAATAAAATTCAGTTGCAAAATATTCAATTCCTAAATAAAAAAAATTGAATATTATATCATATATAAAGATCATAGAGAGGGAGTGAAGAATGATAAAGTTATTTATTTTTTATTGTTATTATATGTTTCAGTTGTATTATTGTAAATGTTAGTTTGTATCTTTTAATTGTATAAAAAATACTATTAGACTTTTTAAGTTATTAAGAAATATAGGCAAAACCTTAATGGTACTATCTGCTTTGTTATTTAAAACACTTGTTTGAGAATAAAAGAAGTTGTTTTCAGCCTTATAGCTTTTTTACTAGCAAGAGCTTATTTTTATAAAGAGTACAATATGATACTGTTAATTTAAAAATATTATAAGTTATGTTTCTTTACAAGAAAACTTTTCTTTATTGCTAAAGAAAAATATTTTCTAAAAAAGAAATTTTTAAGAAATATAAAATAAATAGGAAAGAGTTTTTTTGAAAAATTATTTAAAAATTAAGAAAGGTTAATTTTTAGTTATAATTATTATATATTATATATATTTAGTAGTCAAGTAATTAATATTTATCAGTTTTACATATTGTTTTTAAAATTTAGACAGAGTTTTATTTCAAGCTTGGATTAATCAGTGAATATTTTATAGTATATATAATATTTTAGTAATGGTTGTCAATTTATTTTCTGCACTTCATATTGAACTTGTAATTAAATAAAGTGTTTGCCAATACAGACTATTTTTAACTGGGTCTTAATTAAAATAGTAAGATATCAATTGAAATTATTAAGCATATATACTTGTATTATATGTAATATATAGTCAATTAATAATATAACTCACTGAAATAGTTTTATAACCTGTTGTTATCACTTGAAATTGAACCTGTAATACTAATACTGATATATCAGTAATATCAATGTACTATAGCTTCACTGGATTATTTCATATATATATTATATATATATAATTAAATTTTGTTTTAATTTATTTAAAATTTATTTATTATAAATTAAATAATTAAAAATTTTATAGAATCTATTGTTTATTTTATATAAAAAGTTTAAATAATAATAATAATTTGAAATTTTATTTGAAGATTATAACTTTGAATTTTTATCATATATATTAAATTATTAATTTAACAAAAATTTTTAAAAATAAAATTAATATAATGTTTTATATAAAAACAAATAAATAATAATAATTATTATTGTAATAATAAATTACTCCAATCTTTCTAAATATGAAAGATGAAAAAGAATAATTTTATTTATTTTCAAAATCATATATGAGATTAAATATTAAAGATAGAAGTTTTTATATAATTTATGTTTTTATTTCAAGATTAAATAAATACAATAAAAACACTTATTTGATTATGAAGACAAAAATAACAATAAATGTTAATTTGTTCAATATATATTTTTTTAAATTAAAAACATTAATATCATTTTATAAAATAATTTCAATGTTACTTAATAATATTTATATCTGTAATTTCATTAAGAAACCTTAACAATTCATTATTGATCTTATGCTAGCTATATGCACTGCGTTCACGGGTTTTTCAGTACATTATTTGTTATTTGACTGTACTTACTGAAAGCTAACTTAACATGCTATGATGACATAAGTAGTGCAATTTATTTTATGAAATTTTTACGATGATAATTCTATAATTAGCTAGGTCCGCCCTTCTATTATTGAGTTAATGCAGTTTGAGATGATGTAATATTCAGCTATTCTATTTCAAAAAAAAAAAGATTCTCTATTACATTGATATACAGTATATAAGGTACATCAGTTCCTAATTGTTGATATTGCGAAAGAAGCCATTCACCACTTCCAAAAATGAGTCTAAGTCAATTTTAGAGTGATGAACGATCCGATATAAAAAACCAAAGAATTTAGGTCTGATGCACTATAAATAATTTTTGATTGTTTCTTTATATTCTAAAAACTTTAAACTCCTTCACACCATAGAAAAAAATAAACCAGATGTTTGCATTAAAGTTGATGATGTAAAAGTTCAAATTATTACAGAATGGTAAAACACACCTATACCAAAAGTCAACCATATTTCCCGTTCCAATTTATGTGTATATTAAGGTTTTCCTCACGATTTTCAATCTGATACACTCCTCAATATGGCTACAACTTCAGTGATTGAAGAATAATGTTCTTCGAATCCAGGAAAAAGGGCAAATGCAAAAAGCCATACAGTACATGACAGGGCCATTATGTGCGTGATTACACGTGCAATGTCAAAGTCCAGAACGTAGAGAGGAGTGTGAATTATCCGTAGGAAGGTATATATGACTGAGAAGCTATCATTTTTACAAATTGTTAATTTATAAACATAAAACCATATAATCACAAGTTATTATTCTAACCTATTTCTGTACTTCAGAGGTACTTGTTTTGCTGACGCGATAATCACAGCAGCAAAAAATGCTACAAAAATAATGTCAAAACGAAGTACTGATAAGAGATGTTTTGATTCTAATCAACATCTTACCTGGAGCGTTCTCCAAAGCCACTTGATGCGCGGCCACCATTCTTGCCATGGCTCCTTTGACTGATGACCTATGGACCCGGGGTTCCTGAAAAGCAAATTCAAATTCATTTATATTTATTATATGTAATTATTCAATAAAAAATCAAATACACTCACATTGTTATGATAACCATTCTTTACTCCAGATGATTGTGCGATAACGCTGAGGGAAGCAGTAATCACATATGTCCACATAAATGTGACGGCTGCCATTATGAATGGTATATCCTTTGCTTTGAAATGGTAGTACAAAAAAGGTAACAGAGATTCTTCGACAGCCCGTAACTGTTGTAAAGCGGCTGTTGCTAGAAAACAAACAGGCACCAGAACTAACAAGTAGAGGGTAACCTCCTTAGGGGAGAGCTTTGCCATGGTTTTTTTTCCCCTTTTGGTTCGGTGTCCTCTAACTCCGTGTGAACGTTGCACTTTGAGGATTTATTATTGTAAAAGCCCTGGAAGTTAGTATCGAACTTTTGCTACAAATTCAGAAAATAATTGTTGACTAAATAATTTTGATAATCATCCAAACGTAAATAAAAAAGAATTAGAGCGTATTGTCTGCGAGTTGAAAACAAACATTAAATTTTTTATAATGAAAACACAAATATGCACGAAGTACGATCATTCCAGTTTTAGATAAAATGTTATTAAATTATACATTCAGCATTAGGTTTCCACTTTTGACACATGTATAGATTGTATGTAATAGTTAGATTATCTACTACAACTTTAACTAGCTACTTTTTGATGATATTCAAAAAGATAAACCACTATTATTAACATTGTATTGTAAAAACTTTTGTCAAGTTAATCTCTGATTTTGTAGAATGGAATAAATAGTCAGAGGAATATCGCCTATACTTTATTAGATCCTCATAAATGAACTAATCCTTCAATGGTTAACATGGGTCTCGATAGAATAATAAGTTATTTTTGCGCAATAATGAGATATGATTCGTCACGCATCTTTGAAGGGCGGCAATCCAAATTTAACAGGATCAAAGTATTCCAAGGACTGAATCACAGCTGTTGCACCGTTATCACCCGGATAAAGCGATGCCAAATTAGGGTCCGGAACCCAAACAACCTTAATGCGTATTCAATAATGATAAGGATTTCAAATTTGCGTTCTTAATAAGATTATAATCTATTATGCTTACGTGCATCCCTGCATTTCTTGCAGCTTCTACCCCATTGATCGCATCCTCAAATACTAAGCATTGTGTGACGGACGGGTTACCCATTCTTGCGCATGCAGAAAGGAATAGATCGGGAGCAGGTTTACCATTTTTAATTTCTGAATCATCACCACAAACAATACTATCGAACAAACCAAATAATTCTTGATTATTGGAGGCTTTAATATTAAAATTATCACGCGTCGAACTTGTTGCCACCTACTTATTGGGTATTTATTTAGTCACTTTTCGGAAAAAAAATTGTCCTGCAAGCGTGCATGCATGTATAAGGATTACTTACAACTATTGGTATATTATGCACTTTCAAGTGTTTGACAAGTCTCTAGTTTCAGTGAGAATCAACAAATTAGTTAACATGTAAAAATGAATGCCTAGAAGATCAAGTACCAACCATAACACCTGGCATTGGCTTGGCATGCGGAAATTTGAGAGCCTTTACAAAGAAATTTGGGTTTTGAAAAACTAAATTATTGTGGTACGACATCCTGATGGAATATTACCTGCTTCTCATTTCGTTCCTTAAGGTATTCATCCGCCGTTAAGTCAATTTTTGTTTCTTTTACAAGGAGCTCAGCAGCCTGCATAGAATTATGGTTCATTTACGAACCCATGTCTATCAATGCTAGAGAATTAATTGAGAAAATTTTACATCATGATCTCGTAAACCCATTAAACGCGATTTAAGCTCCCATGTATAAGTTTTCCCATATCTCGCCAGGATCTCTGCTATAAAGTGAAAGAAACATATCATTAATAAGGAAATGTCTTCAAATAAAATTAAAGAATATAATATACATGTTACTTCGGTATAAATTCGTTCCGTGTCCTATTTCGTTTCGAACAATTGTAAAATGCATAATTTAGCACATTAGAACACTGCTGTTTTACTATATCCATTTCCACATAAGACAAAAAATGATCAAACCAGTAATAATCCTATTCAAAATTATCACTCGTTAAAGTTGAATTTATCGAAAAATAATAGAATTCTACTGTTTCATGAGTGAAAAAAACCTACCGTCCATATCAAAGATACAATGCGTGATCATTGTAAATGCAATTAACAGAATGTAAATCCCTAAAAGTTCGGATTTTATTATTTTATTTCCATATCAACCAATCAAATCCCAATCCTATTTTTATTGGCTGATAATATTGTAACCTGATTAGATTAATGTATTTTTTTTCTTGCTACAGTATAAAATTAATAGTATTATTTTTGTATCTATTAAATTACTATTTTATTGATATTAACATTTAAACTTATTATATAGTGAGAAAAATAAATAAATTATAAATTAAAAAATAAATTAAAATGGTTTATTTTAAATATTAAAATTTATTTTTTATTTTTTTCATAATTAAAATAGGTATTGATTATATTTATTTAATTTTTAAAATCAAAAATATAATACAAGATTTTTACATATAAACTATTTTAATATACTGTATATATTTTTCATTAACAAATAAAAACAGAACAGAATAAAAAAAGTTATATTGAAAAAACACAAGCAAAAAAAACTATTTATTATTATTATTATTATTATTTTTAAATTTTCTTTTATTTTATTTTTTTTTAACAGTTTTTTTTTAAACATAACTATAATATATTATTCTATTATAGCTTAAAATATTCTAAAAACAGATTTTTTTTATTAGAAATAATAATAAGTTTTTTAATAATTATATTATATTAATTATAAAATCTTCAATATAAAAAAAATTATAATATTTAATATAATAATTTAAATTATATTTAAATAAATAAATTAAATTGTTTATTTATTATATTTATAATATAAATTCACTTTTTTAATATTAGTTAATATTATATAAAAAAAAAAATAATAAAAATTAATTTAATTAAATTATTTACAGTATATAATAATAATAATTTTAATATATCTTATTTTATTTATTTTAATTTTTATAAAAATTTTATAAAAATTTAATTATTTTTTTTTATTATGAATAGGTATTAAATGCGAGACTTTATTTAAATAAAAAATTTACTGTCATTATATTAACAATATTTACAAAGTAAATTAATTGTAGCCTATTGTAACTAAACTATTGATACCAGGTATCACCGCGAAAGTGGGCTTACATCAATAGTGCTGAATAGCTAATGCCTTTTCAGAACAATGATATTACTGTAGGAGTAAAAATTAATTTATCAGTATAGTTGAATAAGTCATTTAGGAGATTTAAGATTTTATTAAATATAGAATTGTTATTGGTAGTTGTATTTGTTGTGCAAATGCTGATTGTTTTTTTTCATTTAATTCCAGAAGCTGGTGAGATTGTCACTGTGGCTGATCTCAGTTTCCATGCTTTGTGCAGAATTTTTAGTGTGTAGTTAGAAATATGTTCTTTTTTATGAAAAAGGCTGAATGGGTTGTTGAATTTGCCAATGGCCAAGTCCAATAGAGTGTTGTCTGTTAGCTTGAATGTTGTGGTGAAGTTGATTTCTTTGATATTTTTAGAATTGAGATCATGAATGAGATTTTCAAGTTTGAGTTTCTTTTTGTTTAATAAGAATTTAATGTATGTGCAAAAGAAGATGTGTGAAAGGTTCTCTGAGTATGCATTGCATCTTGGGTATAAGTTGTCAGAGTAGAGGCTAGGGTAACGTTTGTGAAGTTTTATTCTGGTTGGGAGTTGGTTTGCGAGGAGTTTGATTCTGAATGTGGATAATGCCTTGTATTTTGTTTGGTCAGATTTTTTGAGTTTGTTGTTTGCTTTGATGATGGTTTCAAGTTCCTCAAAGGAGGAGGGTTTGTATATGGCTGATTGACTCAGGAAGATATTAAAGAGGTTGGTGTAGTAATTTATGAATTTGATCCAGTAAGTAATACTTGTTGCATGTGTATTGTTAATTAGTGATAATAATGTAAATGTCAGGGGGAAGCACTGAGGAACTAGTGTGTTAATTTTCATGTTTGTGTTCGGTGGTGGCTGGAGATTTTTCAATTTGTACCATAAGATAGTAAAGTCTTTTTCAATTATAAGAGTGTTACATTCATTGATAAGTCTGCTGAAGAGAGTTTTAATTGATCTGTTAATGTAATTCAGAACCTTTATATCAGGGATTTTGTTAAGGAAAATGTTGATAATTAATGTTTCTGGGGTGTCGACCAAGGTTTGATAGAGTACTGGCCAAAAAACACTCCAGAAATTAAGGTGAAGTGTATATATAAATGTATTCGATGGTTTGGATACTACTATATTGTTATTGTTTTTGTCGTTATAGAGGTATATAATTGTTGGTCTGTTGATTGGATGTGGTGGGGAGATTAATATTTGTGAAATTAATTGTGGTATAGAAAAGAAGGATTCAGTTAGCTCCTGAATGTTATTGAGTAGGTATATAGAGTTAAGACACAAGGTGTGCCAAATGGACTTAAGGATATTTATATTTTTCTCTATAATATAGAGCTGTACTGGGCATGAGCAAGAAATTATTTTCTTGTTGTTAAGTAGATAGTGCTTGCCTCTGATGGTTGTGGATCTGATGACATTGCTGTATATTTTGATAAAATTGATAGTATTGTTATTTAAAAAAACCCAGAATTTAATTTTAGTGGTGTTGGAAAGGAATGTTGAGTTACTGTATATGTTTGAAGATGTGTTGAGGATAAGTAAAAACTATGCTGAAGCTGGATCAGGAGTGATGTAGCTCCTGTATATATGTAATTCTTTCTAAGATAGTTTGATGTTTTATTTGTAAACATAGGTGTTGTGAATAGTTTTAATGTTTGTGTAATAGAGAGAGAGGGCATTAGATTTTTTAAGTTTGGTCACAAGGCTGATTGAATGCTCGTGATTATTATAATTATATGGGCAGGGAAACAGACAGATTCTGATTTTGTATCTTTTGGCCAAAAGGGCTGCTGAGGTGATCCATAAGTTTTCAAAGTAATAGGGGAAGCAAATTAGGCAATACCATATAGCTTGTGCAGCTTGTATTAATGTAATTTCTTTTGTAGTGAAGGGGGAAATTTTAGAATTGGTAAACTTGATGGCTAGAATTTTTATGACAGTGACATCTCGTCGATTTTGAAGTTTGACGATGTCGAGTCCAGCTTGTGAGTAAAGGATTTTGTTTGAAATAGTGCATTCAACTCCAAGTTTTGCCTTGATTGGTTTATTTATTTTTCTCTGGAAAGTGGTTATTTCTCTGTCAGATGGAATGGTTGCATTAATGACATACTCCAATTGGGCTGATATAATTCATTAAGAGGCTTGTTTGATTATTAATCCATTCCAACCTTTTTGTAAAGCGATTGCATTGGTGAATTTTTGAACTTTTTCTGATAGTTTGTATTTTGTAGAGGTGAAGGATGATTTTCCTGAAAGATAAATTTCTAGGTATCTGATGCTGTCACTAAATAGCTTGGGATGGATTCTTTCACCTTCGACAGTTAGGAATTGCCTTCTTTTTTGATTTAATGATTTGAGATTGATAATCAATTCAGTTTTTTTCTTGTTACATTTGATTGAGTTTAGCAACAAAAAGGAGCAGAAAGTATTTGTTACTTCTTGTAAGGATGGTATGTTTAAGCTGGAGAGGGCTACATTATCCATGTAAGCAAGGATTTTTGATGTTGCTGGAGATTTGGTTGAGATTCTAGTAATTACTGGGTCATAAAAAATTGTCCATAGTAATGGAGAGAGTGTTTCACCTTGATCAAGACCTTTGGACACTTTTAAGGATTCAGAGAGCTTATAGTATATTATTAGTTTCAATTCTTTTTTATTCAAGAGGTTATGAACTAGTGTGATAACTTCTGGTGAGAGTTTGATGCATTCCATAGCCTTTTTAAGACTGGGAAGGTTGACAGATCAAATGCTTTAGAGATATCGAAGGATGTGACCCATATTTCTTTGTTGAAATTATTTGCTATGTTGATGCAGGAGGTAATAATTGTGATTGGTTCAGTAGTGTTTTGGTTTTTTAATCCAGTGAAGTTGGAGTCTGATATGGCTCTGTGTTTCAGAATGCTGGTAGAGAGTCTATTGTTGATTATTTTTATAAAAATTTTCCTGCTTGTTTCAATAAGAAAAATTGGACATGTATCAATGAGATCATGTAACCAGACAACTTTTTTTGGGAGAAGCATAATGGCTAATTGCTTCCAGAATTTAGGTACTTAATTTGTTGCTATTATATTGTTGAAAAGTGTTTGGATGTATTTTTTCCCTAGTGGACTGATTTGGAACCATACTTCATATGAAATGAAGGTAAGACTGGGAGCTTTGCATTTGGAAAGGTCTGCAAGTGCCTCCTTGAGTTCTTGGTTAGTGATTGATGTTGATAGATTGATAAATGCGTTGTTAGGAATATGATTTAAAGGTTTATACTCAGGGCTCCATTCGTTATTAAGGAGAAATGGTTTGGGTTCCAAGATTTTTTTAAAGTGATTAGTGATTATTGTTACAAGTTTGTCAGGGTCGTCATGTAATTGATCATCTTCTCCCATTAAGATGGAAAGATCTAAGGATGGTTTTAAATCTCCAAGGGCTTTTTTGAGAGCATTTTTTGGCCAAGTCCAAAATCTATGGTAATTTGATTCTATGTTCTTTTGTAATTCTTGAATGGTAATCTCATTTAACTTAGATAGTTTTTCCTTGATTAGGATTTTTAAAAGCTTTTTGAAATCCTTGATGCTTGGGGGATCATTTGAAATTCTCTATAAAGCTGCTGTGGCGATCAGTGGGAG